CTTACACGGGCACTGACAGCACGGAGACACCGCCTTACACGGGCACTGACAGGAAGGCTAAAAAGAAACAGAAACTAGCAAACACTCAATTGGAACCCTCATACACTGCACGTGGAACTGAAAAAAATGTCAGCCACTATGGAAAGTGTCATGGCGCTACCTCCAACAACTGGGAATAGAAATTCAGCATGACTCAGTAGTCCCTTTGCTGGGTAAATATCCTAAAAGGTGAGGCCCAGTGCACACATAGACATACACCCCCCCATGCTCACCACAGCACTACACAAACAACCTCAACGCCCGTCGGGAGGAGACTGACACAGACGCCTGGGGACAGACACACAATGGAACGCTACGCACCACTGAAACTTCGTGATGGAGCTGCCCAGCACCTCCTGGCCTGGATGGACCCGGGGAACATGAGGCTGAGTGAAATTAGCTTAACACAAAAGGAAGACACATTGTATGACAGATGTATGCTACAAAGACAAAAAGAAAATCAAGACAATGGTGTTTGAACCACAGGGAACAGACTTTGATGGCTACTCAGGGCAAGGGAAGGACGGTGAAGCAGTAGGCTTGAGGGTAGGCCAGGTGTTGGTTAACTTGGGTGAAGGGGAAGATAGTATTTCACAAGAGGACAAAGAATAATCAAAGTGGGGAGAGGTGGAGGGGGAAGGGTGGGGAGAGCCATTGGAGGGTTTGCTGGACTTACCAAAGTTTAAGCTGTTGAATACAAGAATGACCATCTGAAATGTAAACCTTCACCTATGCACACTCAAAGGTTATAAAAACAAACAAACAAAAAGTTGGCTATTTGAAGGAACGCAGAGGTGCCTCAAAATTTGCTTCAGAATTTGGCAATTTGCTTCTGAAAGGTCGCAGCCCCTGTTCTCCTCTTTGCCCATGGCGTCGGTATGAGTTTGACTCCATGGCAATTGGTTTGGCTGTGTGTGTGTGTGTGTGTGTGTGTGTGTATTACAAACGACTCTATTTACATCTCTAAGCAGAAGCCACAGGTAAGATTCTCAAAGGGGGGTGATCCCCTTTAAATGCCCAAACCCTCCCCAGGCATGTCCTCCAGAGCAGGTGTGCCAGCTCTGCTTTAAAAAACCACTGTGCTACAGATAGAAGAGCCATGTTAAACAGAAATAAATGTAAAGACACAAACCTCTCACGGAATGACATCACATGGGAAAACAGAGTCCCACTTCCTTATCATCGGTACCAAAATTCAAAACGATTTTGACAGAAGGCACCGAAATGCCTGCTCACATGTCTCTGCTATTTATGTTTGCAAAAAGCCCCTTGGCTCACCCAGTGTTAAGGACGAAGGTCTGCATCCTGGCATCCGTGGGAACGGACACAAAAGAACTTGTTCCGGTGCGGCAGGGCACGCCTGGCCCTTTCTTCCTCTCTCTTCCCTAACTTTTCTCCCTTGAGGCGTTCACGCCTTAGCAGGAACTGTGTGAAGCCAGTAACTTTGGCAACGAAACCCTGTCTGGTCTGTGCATGAGGTCACCATGAGTCAGGTCACAGCAAGAAACAGCACCGACACCATGTTGGTGGCCCGAAGTTTTGTAGGCATTTCTTCCAGGCTGTGCTGAAGGCCTTCAGGACTGGAGCTATCTGAGCACGCAGGTTCCAGTCCTTATTAGAGAGTCTTGGTTCAGTGGTGCCACTGGGGTGTGTGTGTGTGTGTGTGTGAGGTGCTGAGCACGGGGTGACACTGTCAGAGGAGGTAGCACCAGAAAGACTGTCTATCCAATTTTTATTCTGTTTCAGCAGAAATCTATTTTTAAAAAATAAAATGTCCCTGTAGTCAGTAATACCGATTTTGTACGTCTAGCTTTCATGGGGCAATATACTTAGAAGGCTAAAGTTCCATGTTGGTTTACACTTTGAGCCTTGTAACGTGCTCCTATCAGAGCCGGCATTGAGCCCAATTGTGTTGATGCGCGGACCACGTGGGGGTCTGCCTGCGCTGAGAGCACGCCCTGTTGGTTTCATTGGGCTTCTGTTTTTGGAGTTTCTGATTTTGTAAAGTTTTCTGGTGTTTTAGTTATAGTCATGTGATAATTAATATTTGTGACCTGTATCAACAACTTTTTGAGGATGGATTTAGTAATGAAAGGAATTAAGTAATTAGTAATTAAAGGAAGAGAAGAAGAAGAAAGGTTCAATTACAAATAATATTATAACTAATAAGGTTATAATTTGATGCAGAAAGACTTTACAAAACAATTTTGTTGTTAGTATTTGTATAACCAAAGAAATATTACACATAAGTCATTAGCAGGTATTAGAAAACCCACTGTTCTTGACTATTAAATTGTATGATATATGAATTATATGAGTATGCCAATAAAACTGTTAAAAAAACACACGATGCCCCTTAGGAAAACAAACAAATAAACAAACAAACAAACAACCCCCCTGCCTTTGAGTTAATTCTGACTCAATGACCCTATAAAATAGTGTAGAATTACCCCAATGGGTTTCCCAGGTTATAAATTTTTACAGGAGAAGAAAGCCTCATCTTTTCCCCTTGGAATGGCTGGTGGGTTCAAACTGCTGACCTTGTGGTTAGTAGCACAACGCATAACCCACTATGCCACCAGGGCTCCTTTGTACAACTTTAGTCGCCTGTTGATTCTAGGATTATGATTGATAATAAACATCCCCAAGGATCCTCTATGGCCGGTATGGAAGGAGGCCCATGAGGGTGGGAGGGAGCGTGTATGACGCTGTAAGCAACTGCACTGAGTGACACTGACGAGTACACAGCACTGTCATGGCTAATGCCACAGTCTTGAAGCGACGAGTGGTCAGCTGAAAACATGGAGAGACTCTCTCTGTCTATATTTTCAAGTCATAAGACGCTGAACTGACCTGCCGAACAATCCATTGAAGGGAGAAGAGGCCTGGTCTTGGATTCATTGAGTGTCGTGTGGCTCCTGCAGGCTGGCGTCTCTGGCAAAGCACTGTCCTTCGGCTGGGGTCCACAGTGGGTAAGAAGGGCCTTAATCAAATACCAGGTACAAGCTGTTGACCTCTTTGAAATCCCCTGGACAGACCAAATATTTCCCAGGCTGGATTATTGTCAAAGGTCACCTGGAAGTAGAAAAAGGTAAACAAGTTAGTCACAGAGGACTGACAGACACCCTTTAACCAAACAGATGGGTTGGACAAAGCCTGGGCTGTGGCCATCACCTCTGAGCCACACCACCCAGGAGCAGTTATCCATTTGAACCCTGGATCTGCGGGGAAGACAGTGGCCTGACGCTTACCGCTGGGTCCCAGGCTTGACATTTTGAGCACTAGTTCAGTCCCTCCTGGCTGCCCTACCCATACTGCCAAGCACACACGGATGGGTTCTTGGGTTTCTAACTGAGGTCAAGCTGCCCCTCACTGCGTAGTTCTGTGTTCTCTTGCGCCAGCTCCTCTTCTTCAGGGGGCTTCTGCTCCCCTTCACCCTTAGAAGCAGGCAGCTGGACAATGGGTGACAGGGCACTTTGCAAGTTACTTTAAATTCAACGTTTCCCCAACACCTCCCATGTGCCAGACACTATGTTCTGGGAATATAAATATAACCAGCAAGACTCAAGCTTCCGCCTCGGAGCCAGGTGGAAAACAAAACAAGGCGATCAATAACAAGGAAAGCACCGTTGGCCACCCAGACAACCATTTCAAACACGTGGTTGTCTGTGTGCCCCGCACATCATTCCCGAATGTTCGGACTGAACTCTGTCCCCTCAATATCTCAGTCAAAGCCGTTGCCAGAGACGCCAGCCTGCAGTAGCCCCACGACACTTAATGAATCCAAGACCAGGCCTCTTCTCCCTTCAATGCATTGTACCAGTGGATGAGGTTCTATTTGGAAATAGAGCTTTCTTTGTCTTGTGAAGGAGCCCTCATGGTGTAGTGGTTCCAGGTTGGGCAGCTAACTGCAAGGGCAGCGGTTTGAAATCACTGGGTGCTCTGAGGGAGAAAGAGGAGGCTTTCTCCTTCCCTAAAGAATTACAGTCTTGGAAACTCACAGGGGCAGTTTTACCCTGTCCTCTGAGGTCGCTGTGAGTCGGCACCGACTTGATGGCAGGGAGCTTGGTTTTGATTGCGGATGTCATGTCTGTGTGGTTGGACCCAAAAAGGGCATGTCCTAAACAGACTAGACCCAGAGACAAGCACAAGAGAAGACCGTGTCCCAGAGGGTCACCTGGAAGCCCCCAGGGCTGTGCACGGATGGCAGAAAAGGCCTGCACGGGCTGAGACCCAGATTTGAACTCTAGCCTCGAGGACTAGGAGAAAATGAAGTCCTGGTCTTTAAGATCACCCACTGGTGGTATCTATGTTACAGCAGCACGAAGAGATTCCGACCGGAGGCTGTCCCAGGGCTCTGAGTCCCAGGACTCGCCCTCAGTTCTCTTCGTCACCCTGGCCCCTGCTCTCCGTTCTCCAGAGGAACTCCCAAAGATTCAGCCAGGACATGGCCAAGCACAGGAGAGGAGAGCTAGAGCTCTTCTTGATAAAAACGGAGCCCTTGTTCCTAAGATCACCCTCGAGCATTCTGTGAGAAATGCATAACAAATCCTGCCCCCCCCTCCCCCCCCGCAATTCTATTGTTAGCCTTGCCAGCTGCTGCCAGTCAACCTCCACTCCTGGCAGCACCTTGCCCAGTCCCACACCATCCCCACGGTTGGCTGCCGATCACACTGTTTGGTCTATGTAGTCACTGGCTGGTTTGTGGCAGCACACCTTCGCGCCTTTCTTCCTAGTCTGTCTGAGTCTGGAAGTGCCTCCAGACAGGAGCGCTCTAGTCCGCCAGCCCTTTAACTACTGTGCACCTCAGTTCCCTCCTCAGGAAAGCAGAGGGTCATGCCTGATAGACTTGCGGTAAGCATGCAATGGTTTAATCGTATGGGATAGCCCCGTTTTTAAAAGTGCTCTGGTCAGAGCTGTCGTCATTGCAGGATCACTGAAGACAAATGGGTGCATAAGCAAATGTGGCGAAGAAAGCTGATGGTGCCCGGCTATCAAAAAGTATAGCATCTGGGGTCTTAAGGCTTGAAGGTAATCAAGCGGCCATCAAGCTCAGAAGCAACAAAACCCACAGGGAAGCTTCAAATCATGTGGGTTTATTTGCCTGTGCTACAAGCACGTATTGCTGCTTTTGTTGCCACCAGAGTACTTTAAAAAAACTTTTCTTGTGAATTAACTAACACAAACTCACTGCCATCAAGTCAATGTACAGCAGGGTAGAACTGCCCCCGGGGTTTCCTGTGACTCTAACTCTTTACGGGAGTACAAAGCCTGTCTTTCTCCCTTGGAGCAGTGGTAGTTTCAAACTGCTGACCACAATGGAAACCGCTCCACCGCAGAGCACATCGTCACGTTTACACTCAGCGACTCATCCTGCTCATATCGCCTTGCTCTTTCTTCATTATCCTGCCACATCTCCCTCTGGGGGGTCCTCTCTTCCTCCTCACTCAACGAACCCCTTACTGCCTTCTCCCCACTGGACCCTTCCTCAATGCCTGTTTCTTTTAGTGTGAAAACCATTTAAAAAACATGTTTATATTTATATATATATATATCTCAGTGGTCTCACACAAGATTTGTCTTTTTTGTGAGTGACTAATTTCACTCAGCAGACGTCCTTCTGGTTCACTTACGCCCTCATGCATTTCACTTGCTCATTGTTTTTCAGTGTTCTGTAGTTTTGCATTGTGTGCATGTACCAAAGTTGATTTTTCCGTTCTGTTACTGATGGGCACTTAGGTCTTTCCATCGCTATGCTACTGTGAATAGTGCCATAACGAACATGGCTGTGTATATATCTGTTTCTGTCAGAGCTCTTATTTCCTTAAGATATATACAAGTAGCAGATTGCTGCATTACCTGGTATTTCTATTCCCATTTTTTTTGAGTAAGCCCTATACCACTCTCCACATGGTTGTTCAATTTCCCAGCCTCCCAAGCAGTGCAGGAGAGTTCCAGACTATCCACATCCCCTCCAGCATTTGCTATTTTCTGCTTTTTTTTAAAACATTGGTATCGATGCTGGGTTGAGGTAGTGTCCCATCATTGTTTAGATTTGCATCTCTCTTATGGCTAATGAGCTCACGCATGTCTTCATATATTTGTTGGTGGATTCTTCTTTGGTGAACTGACTATTCATATCCTCTACCTATTTTCAAATTATATTATTCATCTTTTTCTTGTTGAGGTTGTAAAATACTCATTGGTTTTGGAGATATATCCTTTGTCTGATATGTCTTTGCTCAATTCCTCCCCCCGGCCCCCCAGTTTGGGTTCCCTTTTATTTTCTTGATGAAGTCTTTTGATGCACACAAATGCCTAGCTTTTAGGAGGCCCCACTCATCTATTTTGTGTTGTACTGCATGTGTCTTTCATTATGTATAATAGTGTGTTTATGTCATGCACGAGGGCCCCTAAGTTCACCCTAGTTTTTCTTTTTTTTAAATCTTTAAAAAAAATTATTTTATTGAGGGCTCGTACATTTCTTATCACAGTCCATACATACATCCACTGAGTCAAGCACCTATGTACACCCGTTGCCCTCATCAATCTCAAAACATGGGAGAGGGGGAGGTGGCGGGAAGGGAAGAGGCGTTAACAAACCCAGGGACAAGGGAACAACAAGTGATCCAAATTGGTAGGGAGGTGGCTGTGGGAGACCTGGTAGGGCATGATCAAGGGGAATGTAACAAAGAGGAAGTGCTAAAATCCTGGTGGGG